AAAAAAAAAAAAAAAAAAAAAAAAAAAAAAAAAAAAAAAAAAAAAAAAAAAAAAAAAAAAAAAAAAAAAAAAAAAAAAAAAAAAAAAAAAAAAAAAAAAAAAAAAACAAAAAAAAAAAAAAAAAAAAAAAAAAAAAAAAAAAAAAAAAAAAAAATAAAAAAAAAAAAAAAAAAAAAAAAACAAAAAAAAAAAAAAAAAAAAAAAAAAAAAAAAAAAAAAAAAAAAAAAAAAAAAAAAAAAAAAAAAAAAAAAAAAAAAAAAAAAAAAAAAAAAAAAAAAAAAAAAAAAAAAAAAAAAAAAAAAAAAAAAAAAAAAAAAAAAAAAAAAAAAAAAAAAAAAAAAAAAAAAAAAAAAAAAAAAAAAAAAAAAAAAAAAAAAAAAAAAAAAAAAAAAAAAAAAAAAAAAAAAAAAAAAAAAAAAAAAAAAAAAAAAAAAAAAAAAAAAAAAAAAAAAAAAAAAAAAAAAAAAAAAAAAAAAAAAAAAAAAAAAAAAAAAAAAAAAAAAAAAAAAAAAAAAAAAAAAAAAAAAAAAAAAAAAAAAAAAAAAAAAAAAAAAAAAAACCCCCATCTCCCCCCCCCCCAACTAACACATGAAAACCCCCACCCAGCACGGCATCCTCCCCCACAACGGACGCAACATGACGGTCCCCACCCTCGTCGCCGCCCTAAACACAGGCCTCAAAGTCTCCTCGGAAACGGCAACCTTCCTGGCCAACGCCGGGCTCGCCATCGCGAAGAATCCCGCCAGCGGCGCCTTCGACCTCGACGAGATGAATGTGCATAATGGGTTTGAGCACGATGCTAGCTTGTCGCGTAGAGATTACGATCTCGGTGGCGAGGCCCAGGCTTTCTCGTGGGAGGTGTTTAACGAGACGGTGTCGTATTATAGTAGTAAAGGCGGGATTACAGTCAAGGATGTTGCTGATGCGCGGTGGTATGTCATCTAGAGGTGGATGAGACCCCATGGTGCCCATACAAATGCTGACTTTTTCCTCTTCTTTCGTTTGTGCGCAGGGGCAGAGTGAAGAGCTCCCGAGCTCAGAATCCAAAGTTCTCACTCGATGCTAAACACAGATTTATCTCGTATATCGAGTCGGCGGCATACCATGCCATCTTTCGCGATCCCCAGACGCGTCTGGCGCCGTTGGAATGGATTGTGGTTTGGTTTAGTAAGTTTGGCTTGTTGGGGCGGGATGGTGCGTGGTTATGACGGGACTGATGCTTGGGTTGTAGGTCAGGAACGTTTACCGTACCGGGAGGGTTGGCGTCCGGTTAACGACATCACGGGGATTACGATTGCGGCTGATGTGCTGCAGATGGCGTTGCTTGCGCCTGAGGATGGGGAGTAGATGTGGGGTTGGGGGGTGTGCGGGTTAGGCGTGGGATGACTTTGATTCTGGGTCTTGGAGAGCAGGCGGCCCTGGAGTGACTGGACACTGGAATTACGCTATCATCTTTGGGAGACTCTGTGGTACAGGTTCGGCGGGGATAGCGTCCACAGGCAATGAAACTTGGATTGCGCCATGTGCATATTCTCGTGCGTTGCCTATCCCGCTCGCCTTTACTTACCCTCTGAGCTCCTGCGCCAGGCAAGTCGTCGAGAAAGGCAAGCGATGCGAGAAGGAAATGCACTGCAGAGCTCTCTTAGACATACAAAGGTTCAAGGTAGTGGGTAAAGTAGTCCTGTTTTCTCTTGGCTATCACGGTCTACGCGTCTTTCGGATTTCTCCCAAGTGCCACTCTGTCTGATCCAAGTTTGTGTCTGTGGAGAGTCGTGAGGTAAGGAGCACTGCCACTGTATATCCAACATGTCATGTATCTTTACTTTGGTCAGATGAACGGCAGACAATTTTTTGGGGTTGAGGGTGTAGTAGACACGGAGGTAGGCGGACATGAAAACTTCATCTTGGGGGAGCTGTGGTAGGGAATACCGTACCTAACGTGCTTGAGCTTGGGTTAGCAGCATGTCAGCCCTGTGGAGATAAGCCCGAAAAGGGTGCAGAGAGTAATTGCAGGCCTACTCGTTTAAATGGGCTCAAGAGGTTGAGGGAGTATTTGCGCGTTTGGACAGGATAAGATGGCTTATTTGTGACTGACGTCGGATTGCTGAAAGCAAGGGGGGCTTTTCTTGGGGGGGGGGGGGTCTGCCGATCATAACCAAGGTGCTAATCACTGCTAGAGACTATGGTGGCTAGTGGCTGGTGGCTAGTGGCTAGTGGCTGGTGGCTAGTGGCTAGTGGCTGGTGGCTAGTGGCTAGTGGCTAGTGGCTAGTGGCTAGTGGCTAGCAACTTGATACAATTCACAACCCATCTTGACCACTTCCAAGGGCTACCTATCGACAAGAGCCCATGGCCGACACCGTGCTCGCAAACATCTCCATCTCCTCGCTGCGACGACTGCCCTTTCCTCGCTGAAGTCGCATGCCATAAACTTGCCCGTGTCCCACTGCACTTTCCCACCACCCTCGCTGCCACCGACTGCGCCCCTGCTCCGCGCAGCATTCCCCCACACCGTCATCGCCATGCGACCCCCTCGATCCTCGATGAGCTAGAGCCGCAACCCGTAAGACCATGTCGGCACCCTCGAGCGACGGCCGCCCTTCTGTGGATTCGGAGCCCCCGTTTGGCTCGTCGAACACCTTGCTGTCGCGCAACTCGGGGGGACAGTATGTGGTGAATGGGGAGGGTAGCTCTTCGTCGCCATCAGGGAACAGTGTTGGATCGAGACCCGGTACCGGTACCGGGGTGAGTTATGGCGCTGGAGGGCCCGAGTCGGGACGGCCGCTGTCAGGGGACTCGGTTCAGGAGCGAGATTTTGCGCGGCGGAAAGAGCGCGTGAGGAGGTCGGGGGGGTTTCTGCTAGACTCCAATTTCGCTCGTGGTTCACGGCAGAGAAGTGCACAAGGCCATGACGGCTATGGCTATGGGGCACAGCAGGCGGCCATGGAGGATGAGGGGGGCAAGCGCAGCTCGCGCCACCTCCAGGAGCGACCCCCGATTGGCAGCTCACTCCAGTCGCGACAGAAGCAGGTTGAGGGAGAGAGTGCAGCTCGTCGAGACTTCTCTGCTGATTCCCAGGAGCGTTACGATAGACCCCATGACCGAGTTCGAATGGATAAGACGAGGAAAACTGCTAAGGCTTCACAAGACACATTGCAGGATCGGGAGCCTTCGCCGAACCCTGCGACACAACAGCCGACAATCGATCCGAACCAGCTGGTACACATGGCGCTGAACCTGAGTGAGAGTAGGAGGAGGAACATTGGTGCTGCTCAGCTGTTGGCCCCTCAGCCGCCTAGAAGTGTCTCTGCAACACAACGGGAAAGCAGTTTTTCTGCCTATGGCGCGGGAAGCAGTCTGCGCCAGTATCTCAACGAGCAACGCAGAGCGTCCAGGAACATGTCGCCGATAGGAGGTGGCAAGGCCTCTCCCTCTCGCAGCGGCTCAATGGCATTCCCTGCATCGCAGACCGTCAACCCATCGCCTGCCACGCTCGCACGCGTCCAAAAGGCCCGCGCCTATATCGAGCTCAAGATAGAGTATTTGCGCTTGCTGGAATTCATGCCACCACTCAAGCCAGAGGCCGGCAATCCCGCAAACTTCACCATTTCCTCCAACAATATGCCCGGCAGCCCTCACGTACAACTCACCCGTGTGCCATCTAATGCCAGCAAACAGTTTGACCTTGGTCGAGAATATAACCCGTTGCAATATATCCGCAACCGAAGGAGCAGGGCGCGCGAACGCCGTCCCTTGGACCATTCCTCGGAAGAGTTTGCTGATGTCGATGCGGTTCGCGACTGGGTGGATCGTGTAGCGCAGCATTCTACTCGGTTTGGATACCGGAAAGAGGATGGAGTACAGCTACCCAAACTGCATGCAGATCATCCAGTAGCCCCTGAGCCCGTGCAATCAGCAAGACCGCATAAAGGCTGGATCTTTACGCCTGAAGAGTTGCTCGCAGATGCGCATTGGATCGAGCAGGGGGACAATAAGTTGTTGGCTGAGAATCGTCATGGCCGTAGAATCTTCCCACCGGGGGAGCCAAAACAGCAGGATCTACTTCAACCACGTGCAAGCAAGGAAATTTCTGATAAGCGGAGACGAAGCTGGGCAGATGACGTTGCAGGAGGCCATGGCACTGGAGATGAGAGTGACAGGGGCAGCGAGCGTGGCCGCAAGAGAAAACTGCTGACTGTCTTGCGGAATGACAGTCCAAGAGGCGGCAAGCATTCGAGACGGGGCTCACGACTACGCAGTAAAGACGATTCGGATTCTTCAGGCTCGGAGTCAGAGTCTGGCAGACGCTCGTCGCGTCTTCCTGAAGATCCTGAACATAACACTGGGCCGCTTGCTTTGCTCTTGGAGCAACAGGCCAAGCAAGCTCAGTCGAGGACTCCAGCTATTACATCGCCAGACACGCCGGACAAGTGGGGACGAGATCATGTCGAGATGCTCAATGACAGCACCACACGACAGTCGCTTGAAGTACCTCGAGTGGGCAACGGGCACGCTGATGGGAAAGATCATGGCAACTACAAGGGTCTTCTCAAAGCTCGCAAGGTTCCTACGCTGTCCATTGATGATTTGGAACCACGATCATCGTTGGAAGACTGGGATAGTACCGCACCAAACACTCCGCTACAACCCAAGCGCTTCCCTCATTTTGGCGCTGACATGTCACCACCGCCAAGCCGAGCGGGCTCAGAACACAAGAAGACGAAACGCAGTAAGCTCAATATCTTCCACTCGCACGAGCACGGCGAGGAGCGGAAGTATGAGACCAGACGGGAGACAGCCGAGACAGAAAAGAATAATCGATCTCGTCAGGCCAGTGAGGAAGCGTACGAGGACAAGCACATTGGCACATCAATTCTGGCAGGCCCAGGTGCCGTCCGCAATCTTCTTGCTCACCGCAAAAATGACAGCGTCAACAGTTTACCAAGCCCAGACAAATTACGGCGGAGGGAGACATCAGAACCACATTCCGCAGTCACGCGATTCTTCAAAGGTGCCAAGCATGGCGGCTCCAAGGTTGGAGAGTTCATCTTCCGGCGGGATCGGGCAGATGACTCTGATGTGGAGACCGCATCTGATCGCGGCTCATTTGACCTTGATACTGATACTTCGTCCAAGGCCAGGAGGAATAAGCCGCCACCTATCCATCGTGTTGCCACTGCCGGGACTATTGATAGTGTCGCGTCGGACAAAAGAAATCGCAACCATATTGACCTCCCATCGTTCCGCCCTGTCAATGGAGGTCGCTTCAAAGATGCATCTGGTCAGGATGGAGAGGACCACATTTCGCGACAGGCTCGTGAGCGAAAGACCAGTCGGTCAGCCCAGATGGATAAGCTGCAGCCACTACGCATGGACCTGGGTACCATCTCCGGGAACTCGTCCACAACCTCTCTCGATCGGACTCGTAGCCATGGTCAAGACCGAATCAACCAAATCCTGGCCCAGCCTGGTGGCAAATTCGTCGGTCTCCCTGCTACTGGCTTGACCAAGTTCCAAGCAACAGACAACCGAGCTCGAAGCAGTTCCCGCCCTACTCTCGATGGCGGACGCCACTGGAGCATCGCTGATGACGATGATAAAGTACAGCAACGCAAATCCAATCCCAACACCGTCACCCAAGCCGACATTGCCCGTGTGCGCGCCCTCTTCCTCTGCTCTGGCATCAAAGCCAAAGAAATCAGCACCCGAGCCCAGACAAAACGCAAGCCACCTCCCGACTTCCTACGCCGTGCTGCCGCAACCGCCAAAATCGATCTATTCCCCGTCCCTAAAAAGGAAGAACACGTGCTCGCAGCCCGCATCCTCGTCCGCGAACTCGAAGCCTCGACGCGGTCGCTGCAAAGCTCGCTGGAATCCTTCCGCGACAAAGCCATCAAGGAACTTGCGTGTAAGATCGCCGACTTGCATTCTACCGTGGATGCAGAGCTCATGACGCGCATCTTGGACTCTGGCGACCAGGCGCTCCGGATCACAAGCGAGATATCCGCCCAAGGGCCGTTGCAGGTCAAGGAGGTTACCGAGGAGATTGATCGGATGCTCGGGGCGCGGCGGCGGCAGATGGGTTGGATCAGGGCGTTTGGGTGGATGATGGTGGAGTGGGGGCTTGTGGGGATCATGTGGTGCTTGTGGCTAGTGGTTGTGCTTGTTGGGGGTGTGAAGAAGGTTCTTGGATGTGGGGTTGGGGTTGTGAGGTGGCTGCTTTGGCTTTAGGAAAGTTGGAAGTGGTGGGTTCTTTTGTAAGGATAAGGGGTTGATTTGCATGTCTGGCGCTGGTGTTTGATTGTTTGGCGTATATGGCACGGTTTTCCATCTCAGGGCGAGGGGGTCATGGAGTCTTGGGTACGGAGACTTTGATATCATGTCTTGAATTACAACATAATAAAGGGCCATCAAATGGTAACTGGCCGCGGTACAATCATTCTTATCTACAAGATTCTTATACTGTAATAAAACCGCGTCCCCTGCCCAACTTTGCTCTCCCAGCACTTCTCCAGCTGCCAAATGATAAACCTTTTTTGTTCGACGCGCCTGCCTCTCCAGCTGAGTCACGTGGACGCGCGTGTGTGTCTGTCCGGTGTGTGTGTGTGTGTGCCAAGCGTCGACGTCATATCCCACCCAGCCTTTGGGGGCGTCCAAAGCAACCTGAGCCCTCGCTCGACCCTCACTGCAACACTGTGTCACGGAAGTCTTATCATTGTTTTTCGCTTGGTATGAACTGGGCCCGATTTCTTTATTGCGAGAAAGTGGAGCTGGCTGGAGCTTGATGATGGATTTTCAAAAGGTTATCATGGCGAATGTAGGGGAGGTTGTGCATGGTCGGTCGGTATGTCGATGTATATCCCTGAATCCTGGCTTTCCATCTTTCCATCTCTCCATCTCCCAGACGCAGCCTTTCTTTACTTACTAATACAATCACCCCACACAGTCAAGTGGTCCTTCGTCACTGGCAGCTCTAGCCGCGGCATTCATCCCCACGGCTGTCATTGCGGCACTCAACATCCTAGCTTTCGTCATCGTCAGGCCTCATTTCCCCAAGATCTACTTTCCCAGGACCTTCATCGGTACGATTCCAGAAAAAGACAGGACGCCATGTCGCAACCGCTCATCCGGGTACTGGGACTGGCTGCACACGATGCGCACCGTGCCTGACAAATCCGTCTTGTATCATGTTTCGCTGGACTCGTATCTCTTTTTGCGCTTCATGCGCACGTTGATCTTCATCTGTGTGGCTGGCGTTGCTCTTACCTGGCCTATTTTGGGGCCGGTGAATTGGTTTGGTGGCGGGAGGAGCAAGGAGCTGAACCGGGTGTCGATTGGGAATGTGAAGAAGACTGAACTCTTGTATGCGCATGCTGTTGTGGCCTGGGTGTTCTTTGGGTTCGTCATGTTCACTGTTGCGAGGGAGAGGCTGTGGCTTATTGGGTTGAGGCAGGCGTGGAATCTGTCCAAGAAGAATGCGAAGAGGCTGTCTTCGAGGACGGTGCTTTATCTCGCTGCGCCGACGGCTGCGCTGGATGAAGCGAATATGCAGCGGTTTTTTGGGAATGATGCAGTCAGGATTTGGCCGGCAACCAAGGCTGACAAGCTGCAGTCCTTGGTCGATGCGAGAAACTCTCTTGTGGAGGATCTAGAGTCGGCGGAGATGACGCTGATCCAGAACATCAACCGGGAAGTTCGAAAGAATCAAAACCGCAACATCAAATACGACAATCTTCCGAAACAAATGAAGAAGTCGTTGCGACCAACGCACAAAGAGGACAAGCCAATCATTGGCAAGGAAGTCGACAGCATTGATTACTATCGCAATCAGATCAAGGAAAAAGAGGCCGAAATCACCAAAGCCCGCGACTCCAACGAGAATGTCGACAGCCAGAATGGCGCAGCAGCAGTCTTTGTCGAATTTCGCTCACAAGTCGCTGCTCAGCGCGCGTGTCAGCAGATTGCCTCGTCGGACATTCTCTCACTCACTCCGCGGTATACAGGCGTCAGGCCCAACGACGTCATTTGGAAGAATCTGAATTTGGCGCCTGCACGCAGAATATCGCAGGATGGCGTTGCGATTACGCTGGTGATTGCTACGATTCTGTTCTGGTCTATTCCGGTGTCCCTTGTAGGTGCACTGTCGAACATTCAGTATCTGGCCGAGAATGTAAAGTTCTTGAGCTTTCTGAACAAGTTGCCGCCGTCGATTATGAGTCTGCTGAGTGGGTTGATACCGCCGATTCTGCTGAGTGCGTTGGCGAGATGGGTGCCCAAGATATTCAGGAGTAAGTTGTTCCTCTCTGGAGACTGATTGGAGGACGAGGTTGACTGTTACAGATATCTTCACCTACTTTGGAGACGCGACAAAGACTACGGTTGAGCTGCGGGTACTGAAATGGTTCTTCGTATTTCAGGTCCTGCAGGTGTTCTTGGTTACGACGCTGTCGTCTGGAGCTGCGGCAGTGGCTTCGCAGCTCTTGATGAATCCTGGCTCGGTGCCGCAGTTGCTTGCAGAACGTCTCCCTTCTGCGTCGAATACGTACCTTACGTATTTTGTAGTCCAGGCGTTGAGCAATGCACCGAGTAATATCTTGAACTACTCGGATGTACTCTTCTACGTCTTCTACGATCGAGTATTCGACAACACGCCGAGAAGGAAGTACAACAGCTTCATCGACCTCAAGGGTATGGCATGGGGCAAGCTCTTCCCCAAGTACGGTAACTTTGTCATTATTGGTATGTGAATCACACACTGAGGAGTTGTTTACTCTGCTAACCATTTAATAGCAATTGCGTACTCGTGCATCGCGCCACTGGTGCTCGGCTTTGCCGCCATTGGTCTCATAATCTTCTATTGGTCCTACCGCTATCAATTCCTCTTCACCAACAATCCGAAGATTGACACCAAAGGTCACGCCTACACCCTCGCCCTCCAACAAATCCTCACAGGAATCTACATTGCCGAGCTCTGCCTCTTTGGGCTGTTCAGCCTCCGCGGTGCCACAGGGCCAGGTATCATGATACTCATGCTCCTCTTCGCAACCGCAGTCTTCAACCATACAACCAACCGATATGTTTGCGCCGCTCGAGAACTTTTTGCCCACAGATTTTGCCTTGGATTCAGAGCATGAGGGTGGTGCAGATGAACAAGCGCCTCTATTGAGCGCAGCTGAACAAGGCGAGTCCATGGCCCTCGAGCATGCGGATTCCCATATTCAACGCCTTTCCTCGCGCACAAGTCTCAAGCCCTCGACCATTGCACCCCTAGCGCATTTCGCACAGCCCCATGTCTACGCCAGCTACACGGCCATGAAAGCCTGGCTGCGTGACGGCGACTGGGACGAGGATGACGAGCCGCAGTATACAGACGACGAGGTTGCCAAGGCGTATGCGAATCCGGCGTATACGAGCAGCACGCCGGTGGTGTGGTTGGCGAGGGATGAGGTTGGGGTTAGTGCGCATGAGGTGAGGGAGAATGAGGAGAAGGGGGTCAGGTGTTCGGATCGGGGGGCGTGGTTGGATGGGGAGGGGAGGGTTAGGTGGAGTGTGGGTGATTTTGGGGAGGTGCCTGTTTTCAAGGGGGGGAAGGGGTGGTGATGGGGGGTTTTTCATCACGTTCAAGTTTGGTAGATATCATGGCTGGCTATACGATTGCTGTAATATGCAGTATACCTTGATTCATGATTAGGATTGGTATGGTTGGTGGGTGTTTAGTGGTGGTGGTGGTAGTTGTAGTGTAGTGCTACTAATGCGGAGTTTGGGCGTGTCTGATTGGAGGCGCGATGAATCTCACCGAGGTAGGCAACGCACAGACATGAAATGAAGCTCGACCACTCCACACCCCAAACTTTTTTTTCGATTGTCGTCGTCGCATCTTCGACACATTCGAACCAACAAACAACCGCGCCCACGGCCATGCTCACCGAACAATTCGTGGCCGCCATTTCGGCCTCGACAAAACCCAACACGGGCGTGCAAAAGGATGCCGCCATCTTCGTACACGAATTCCAGCCCTTGGCGGCGCAGCGACAAGTCTTCAAGAAGAGCGCGAGTGCGCCCAATGGCATCGCCGTGAGCAATGAGCACATCTTTGCTGCCCAGGCGGATAAGGCGGTTGTGCACGTTTATAGCCGCGACAGGGGGAACCAGGAGGCTCTTGTGCCGTTTCCAGAGAGGATTCACAGTATTGCTCTTGCGGCGCGGGATACGGTGCTGTTGTTGGGCACGGAGAGTGGACGGGTGTTGGCGTGGGAGGTTAGTTGTGGTGTGGGAGTCTTTATTCTTGTTGTGTTGTTGTTACTATATTATATTGCAACGTGCAGTCTGTTTTCTAATGCGTAACCCCAGATTTGCTCAGGTCGCCTCGTCTCGACGTCGACTTCGCATCTGCAGCCCGTGACGTGTCTGGTCGTGGACCCCTCGTCCAACTTCTTCCTCTCGGGCTCCTCGGACGCTATGATTCATGTGTGGGCACTGCCTGCCATTCTTGCCTTCTCGCCTGATACCTCGCGCTCGCCCATTCACACCCTCTCAACCCATCGCGGACCCATTTCAGCCATTGCCTGTGGCCACAGCGCAAGCCATGCCAACATTGCCGTGTCCATATCCGGGGACAAGTCGGCTATTGTTTGGGACTACCGTAATGGCCAGGCGCTGAGGACGTATCTGCTTCCTGAAGCACCCACGGCAGTTATCCTGGACCCTGCAGACCGTGGGTTTTACCTTGCCTATGGCGACGGCAGTCTGCAGACCATAGACTTCTACGATGACGTGCAAAAGTCCACTGCCGTCGATGTGCTCCGTGATAGCGCCTCCTCCCATCGCCCCGTGCAACCCTCGTCCAAGACGCGCTTCCATGCTGAGTCGCAGAAGCTGGGAGGAGCTTTGAGCTTGGGTTTGAGCTGGGATGGGACCACCCTTGTGTCTGGCCATGCAACTGGCAAGATTGCGTCGTGGGATATTGCAAAGGCAAACTACCTCTCCACCCTGGTCAATCTGCCCGGTCCCGTCTCGACCCTGCAATTCCTACCGCCAACTGGATTTGCGACCACGCAGGAATCGACATTCAAGATCCAAGCCATTGTGAAGCCGAAACCGGATGCGGCACTCGCCAGTGGGAATGCGCTTGTCCCGCCAAATTATACGCTGAGCATGCAGTTCACTGGTCGGCTACGCAGTGCCCACGTGTCCGCTACTGAGAAGGCATCGACGACCAAAAGCAGCTTTGACGAGGCTCTCTGCCACCCCAGTTTCCCCACGAGTATGTTGGAGGAAAGCCTGGCCGAGTTGGAAACGTGGGGCACGTCGGCCAAGGAAGGCATGCCAGCTTCTGCCGATTTTATGGCACTCGACCAAGACAGTATGCACGACGGAGTTTCCGAGCCTCCAACTGCTGCCCAACAGACGGAGCTCCAGCAAGTCAAGGCACAACTCGCCAGCCTCCAGCGCATCCAAAAACTCACCTTTTCCCAACTCTCCGACTTGCGCGAGCAGAATGCGTATTTTTTGGCGCGCGAGAAGAAACGGGCGGCTCGTGCAAAGGCGCGCGCGCAAAAGCAATCTGCTCGCCCCAACGGAGACGTGCAGATGGATGACGCCTCATCCTCGGAATCTGAATCCTCTCACGCCGATGGCGCCGATGGGTCCTGAGATTGCACGCAGGCATGCATGTATCCTTTGACGACGACAAGACGAATCCACATCCCCTCCACCATGTCGCCATCCAGGTCCGCACAAACCGCACAAAAGATACACACCGCCATCGCCAGCCATAAGACCCAACGCCATTCCCCCTCACACTCCGGCTTTCTCACCCCCCCTCCTCCTGCCTCAATATGCAGTGGTCCAAGCCCGCATGTAAACCGCGCCCCTCGTAGCACGTTCCCACAGCAAACACTCCACCATTTTTCCCCGCCCGCGTTGCCCGTATTGCAGACTTGAGGTGGTTGGGACGGGCGGTGAGATGGTGTGGTGGTTGCAGTTGTGTGGGTGTGGCTTGGGGTTGTCATACGTTGGGGGAATACACGGGTGTACGGGGACGTATGTGTGCAGATACATGGAGTACATGTGTGGACAAACTATACGCACACGCTCGCACAAACTATACGCAAACAGCCACACCTCGGCGCCTTCCGAACCCGACACCACCCCGTTTCGAAGAAAATGCAAACGTGACTCCGATCCATTGGATTCACAACTCGTCCATCTCGCCCTGGACTGAGACATCCCATCCCCGCCCCGTCTCCGATCAGCCAGCCGGCCGGCCGTTTGTCTAGTCTGCTATTTAATCAAGCCTATGTTGTAGGACAAAGGTTTGGGATACGGTCGACGAGACTATGTACGAGACTTTGTACGAGACTTTGTACGAGACTTTGTACGAGATACACATAATGGCTTGGAATGTTTAGGTAGGGTGGGGTGTTGTTTGCGTTTGCTTCACTATTCTTCACTGCGTATGACTTGGGCATGGGCTTGGGATGTACTTTTGGTATGGAGAGAATAGGAAGGGAATAGGAGGGGATAAGGAGGAGGAAGGGATAAAAATCGAGCGATAGCTAGTAACCGGTCCACACCCCTACCACCCCATGCCCCTCCTCCCTACTCTTACTCTTGATACACAGCCACCTAGGCTCCCTAACAGTCACAGTCAACACTCCAACCCAGATGCTCCATTTTGAAAATCTCAAACGTGGAAAAAGTCCTGATCGTTTGCTGTGCCGCATTCACAAGAGACGGGGCAAGATAGACGGAGACAAGGCGGGATGGCTCGAGGAGGTTTGATACAGCAAATCATGATGATACACCCACAGACAAGGAGTGCGGGAGAAGCAGTGAAAAAGTACGGATAGGAGCGGAGGTTTAGGTCCAGGAATACAAGTCCAGGAATCCAAGTCCAGGAATCCAAGTCCAGCAATCCAAGTCCAGCAATCCAAGTCCAGCAATCCAAGACTTTGAACATATTCCCCTCTCTCACGTATAAACAATAATCCACACCTTCACAACTGAGAATGCACATCTTCTTCGTTTTGCCCGGAGTCGGTCGGCTCTACATGCTTGGTTTTCGTGCCCGCTCTTCCTGCTTTCTGGCTGATGCGATGGCGACCACGACGACGGGAACGGGAATGGAAAAGAAAACAATGACGCGCCCTATACGTACGCTTGAGACATTTTCCAACCTCTGTTTTCGTTCCAAGTCTTCGGTTTGGAGGTCCTGGATTTACAACAGCGTGACTCACCCATTACCCACTCCGTCTAGAACCGTCACAGAGGGCATAAAGGTCACCCTCACAAGTCACAAGTCACACACACAAACCCCAAAAATGTGTCAACTCTTTTAATTGGCGTCTATTCTAACCCCACCCTCTAAACCCATGAATCCACCGTCCTTGTTCTGTTTTTCTGTTTGCTCTACCTACACTGGCTACGGGGTTCGGCTACTCACACATCGCACATCACACATCACACATCCGTGCTTGTGTCAATGTTTGCCATCGCATGACATGGTGGAAGAGAAGCCGTGATACCACCACAGTACAGTACAGTACAAAGTGCATCAATGTATCCGGGAATAAATCCTTACCGGTGGTACCCCTCCCCCCACCCCAAGATTTGACAAGGACCAATTGACAAAGATTGCGCGTGATTGCATCAACAAGCCAATAGCCCTGAAAAAGACAAAAAAAACCCGAGGTTTGTTTGTGCACATTGCAGCACCAATCTGCGCGTGTGATTGCGCAGGCCCAGACAAAGGTGTGCGTCGAGTGCTGGCATGCATGCATGCAAGTGACAGGGTAGCTTTGTTTCAGGGCGATGCGAGGGAGGGTCGGGCCGGGGTAGGGGTGCGAGGCAAGGGAAGCTGGAAGACGAGACGAGGGGGTTGTCGAGAAAGGGGCTCAGTAGAGGGTGGGGAGATGAATAGACCGCGCGGTACCGAATATTGTTTTGCATTAAATGGAGAGGAAGGAGGTTGGTATGGCTAAGGGTGTGTGCGTGTGTCGGGGGGATTATCGATGATGGGGTCGAGGATCGGTTACCATATGTAGTGCGACGAACCAAAAAGAAAAAAAAATCCAACAAAAGCCACTATAAGAAATGTTCAACACTAAGGTCGGTTCACCCTTGACGGTTGATAGTCTTTGGTTTTTTCGTCACAGTCGTAAGCATCCTTGCGGAGATTTGGCTTCTTTGCAGTTTGTGGAAAATGGGAAATTGTGTCTGGCTGGCAAACGAATAACAGTACTCCGCCCTCGCAGTGGGAAAAAGGGATTTGGTAGTCGATGATAACGCTGAGGATGATAAAGTGTGCCGAAATTAACTGCAGGCGCCGGGTAGCACTGCCGCTTTTGCATATGTAAGAGTAACAAAAATGATGTTCCGAAAAAGATTAACAATGATACCGGTTCGTCATTGCGCGTCGTAAATGTGGTGAGGCCGTGGGAAGATGCAGGTACTAGCAGGCAAAGCAACGCAAGCTCGATAAACGCCACGCTAATAGCCGCTAAGATGTCGGAAGAAAAGCCACGAGAAAGCGCAGAGGAGCCAAAAGCATGCAAGGAAAGACGCCTATGCGGAGTGCGACTTGTGCCGGCCCTTGTTGCCAGCATACTCTCCATCCGGACACCACTCCTCCGGCTGAAACTCTGGATTCAAGAAATGTGCGGTGTTGTAGTGAGAGCTGGGAGCGGTTAGAGCGGGATAGAAGGCTGTGGGATCCATGCACGACTTACTTGCGAAAAATGGACGTTTGAAACGGCTGGACCTGCATGGAAGAGCCAAAGCCTGGTTCCAACTCGTACATGGAGGGTCGGAAGGGACCACCTCTCTCTACTGCCAATGGAGCTGCTCGCTCGATGCTCACAGGCGGGGGAGGCGGGTGCATCGGCAGAGACATAGGAGGCTGGTCGAGATGGATGCTGTGCACGCTTGGTGTGTCGTACTGGCTCGCTGATGTGGGATGGATCGAGGTAACAAACTCCAGATGCGAGGAGCTTACGGGGGTGGCGGGCGTCGCAACAGGGGCGAATGACTGGACGGGCGTGACATGCGATTGGGGTGCGGGGCTCGAATTGAAGTCGTACGAGAGCGAGGGCCATCTTGAGCCGAGGCCAGCAGAGTACATTCCCGGTATCATCGTCATGACGTCGGCCACGTTGGATGCTGTTGGCACGAACTCATCTGTGTAGCTTGCCATGGCGACGTGGAGTGGCTGCTGTGCCAGCGTTGGCTGGTGTTGGATTGGCTGGGCGACGTCTTCTGCCTTGTAGAGAATGTCGTAGTGCCCACTGTAGTCCGAGTTAGTAGGGCCGGGTGGGCACAAGGGAGGATGGGGCTCACGGTCGGTAGAGGAGCCTCAGCATGTGGGCATTGGGATCTGACATGTTGTTGTGGTCAAGAGGCTCCGCGTAGAAGCTGCGATTGATTTCCTCGCCAGGGGAGCGGTCGAGGTACCAAATCTCTAGACCAAAGCCTGCAGGCTTGACAAGGGCCTCTGCCAAAGCAGCGATGCCAATGTTGTCGATTTCGCTCTGCAGAGGATCGATGTTGTTGCTGCAGTAAGCCTTGACATCGCCCATGGGGACAAAGTGTCGGAAATCATCCGCATGTGTCTGCACCCACGCACTGGCGAGGATCTGGACAGGTCAGTTGGCTGAACCGTAACGGAAAGGGGAGAGGGGGCCAGGCCAGTCGGCCATTCGGCAGCGGAAAGGGGAGCAAGGGGCCACGTGAGGAAAGACTTGCCTTGAAGTAGGTGATGATGGCAATCGACTCGATACCAGCATGAGCCTGCTGGTCGTTGAAAGCCTGGAGTAAAATGTCGGAAGCCGCGCCGTCCATGTTGCGCAGCGAGTTGGCCAGTGTGCGTAGGAGCTCAAAGGCCGAGTCAGCAAAGTCGATCCAGATGTCGCGCACATAGCCAATCTGCTCGAGCAGATTGCCCATTGAGTTGAGGCGGGCTTCTTCATCCTGGAACTTGTCGGCGTCTCCTGTGCGGATGAGGGCCTCGAAGTAGGTGAAGGCGATGGCTGCGCTCATGTGGTGAGTTACTGGGCAGCCAAGACGGCGGTTGGGGGGGGGGGGGGGATCTTACCTCGCCATCCACAATGGCCGTCACCGCGACAGGTGCGGAAGTAAGCATACTTGGTGGGCAGCGCGGCCGTCTTGACTCTGAAGACGGCATCTGCAGTGGCATACTGTGTCGTGATGGCTGCACTGCTCTGGCGCTCGCCGACAAGCGGGCCCTGGAGTTTGGCGGTCGTCGTCAGCAGGTATGCACATGACTTGGGGGGATTTTACGAGATTGCTCTTCCTCCGCTACACTCACGACTACTTACCTCGGTTTCGGGCTGGTACTCGCTCGATAGCTTCTGCAAGTGGGCGAGCTCCTCTTCAGAAGCCATGTAGGCGGCGGGGTCGGCCATGTTGAAGTTTGGCGTGCGGCCGTGTTGTTGTTGCGGCTGTTGCTGTTGCTGTTGCTGCTGTTGTTGATGCTGCTGTTGTTGTTGTTGCTGTTGCCGTTGCTGCTGCTGTTGCTGCTGCTGCTGCTGCTGCTGCTGTTGCTGCTGTTGCTGAAGTGGATGGTGGTGTTGGTGGTGGTGTTGGCCAGTGTGTTGGTTAAAGGCCGCGGGAGGGAGGACCGGGGCGCGCATTGGTAGCGGCCGCGCAAAGGCCAGTCCTGAATGGCCCACGCCCACGCCTACACCCACGCCCACTCCCACTCCCACTCCCATGCCCATACCCATGCCCACACCTCCTCCGCCGTCATAGTGGCTTGTGACCGGGATGCGATAGTGGTGTGGATGCGTCTGCTGCGAGAGGTGATGTTGTCGCTGAGCATGATAGCCCGTCATGACCGGCTGTCTGCTCATGATGTACTCGCACGGGCGATGTGTGTGTGTGTGTGTGTGTGTGTGTGTGTGCGCGTCTTATGTGTTGCGTGAATGTATTGTAGGTATTGTGTGACAGGGCAATGTAGAAGAAGAAGAAGCAGAAGAAGAAAGAAGAGAGAAGAAAGCAAGAGAGAACAAGAAAGAGGAGTCAAGTCGTTCCAGGCGAGGTGCGAGGGCAATGCTATCCTTTCTTTTCTTTCCCCCCCCCCGCGCGATGTGTGTTGCACTCCCAGTATGTGTGCGTGTGTGTGAGCCCCGGGGGCAAGCAGAGTGGCAGCGTGACTGGCCTCGATGGCAAGCAATTGGACGGCAAGATTCCACAGCGCTTCGGCAACGCAACAATCGATCTCAAGCAGCAATTCGTCCACGAGCTGCTGGCGAGGGCAGCAGCGGTATTAGTAGGTTGCAAGTGGCCGCGGCTGTCGTGGGCTGGAAGCTGTGTCGTTGCTGTGATACCCACCGGGCTTCCAGGGGCGCGCCAATATATGGCAGAGACAAGGAGGGGATCTTCACGACGGTGCCAGTGGGCATTTCAGGTTGGCTGCCAGGCACGAAAGCGCTCTGCTACCCATTGAGCATGGCGCTATGAAACGGCCAGTCTCTTGTTGCACCGAGGACCTGGGAGACGGGGAGGAGCACAGAATCGATCTCCTGCTGCTAAATGCGCCTCCTGCACGGCGAGCAATGGGGCTACCGCAGGTGAAACCCGGAGGGAGGAGAAGGCCACCGCACCGCGTACACAAAGGGAGGGCCATTCCTGCTCCCAAGGGCGGACTCCACCCTCCCCAGCGCCTGGCACCAGCACCCTCGAGCAAAAGAAAAACGCTGCCATGGGCTGCGATGAGCGCGGCAATGGCCAAACATCACGCAAGGTCCCTCGACATGGGGGGAAGCCGACATGGGAAGCGCGCCTGGGTACCTAGAGACGAGAGTACAGGAGTAGGTACTACTCTACTACACACTGGCTTTCTCCCTCCCACAACTCCAACCTCCTCTCTACCTAGTGGTAGGTGTCGGGGCTTCAGGAAAATCTCGGAACTATCAAGGACCCACACCAGTTCTCTCCTATTCCATCACATCACAGCCAATGGATATCCATGGTGGGCGGTTGGGAACAACATTGGTTTCCACAGAGTCACGAGACTGCAATCATGATCTGATGCCGAGCAGGGATCCATGATTGTACCTATGATACCTACGGGGGGGGGGGGGGGGGAAGGGGGCAATTAAACCCCCTCGGGAACCCATAACCGGAACGGGGGGGGGGGGTTGCAAACGGAAAGCCATCAACCTGCTCATCAGGGAGGCCGGGTCCCCCAGGGGAATGCATTCCCCCCCCCACCATCCGGGAAAAATGGGGGACCCCTTCCCCCCCCCCCTGGGGCAAAAAAAAAACGACCGACCTTTGACCCATTTCACAAAAGCCCAAAAGGCCCTTTTTCTAGAAAAAAAAAAAACTTTTTTTTTTTTTTTTTTTTTTGGGGAGTCAAAACCTGCTTTCCCAAGGGCCCCC